GGGCGGCGGCTCCGAGAGGCGCAGTTTCGGGGCGTCCTCACCCGCCGAGGTCGCCTCGCTCCAGGCGGCGCGGGGCGCTTGTGTTTCTCGCCCGGGTCTCAGGTCACTTGTGCAGGCTCCAAGTAAAGACCGCCGCGACTGAGCCCCGCGAAGCTCTGCAGGGGAGGGGCTGCCCTTGGGAAGTGGGGAGTCGAGCTGGGGGGCAGGAATGGCGGGCAGAAAGTTGAGCACGAAGTGCAAAAACGTTCCAGGAAATAAAGTGGCAAGTTGCGGCGTGAGGAAGTCCCTGCACAAGTAATTGTCAAACAAACCGTGTTTATTTTTTGCTCACTGAAGCGGGACTGGCCGGCCTGTTGCTAGCCAACTTTCGGGGAGACCTTTCTTCCCCTCCCCTCCCACGGGGCGAAATGTACTTCCACTTTGTTCCAGATCAGATGGGTAAACTAAGATGAAAGTATTGTGTGGGCAAGTCAGGCAATTACTGATGAACTACCATTGAAGTTAAAACAGGAGCACATCAAATTCCTGGAACTGATGTAATATTGCAATATCCTGTTAGTAAAAATAGTGAGGTTCTCTACTCTTTTCTCAACCTGTTCACAGCCCCTCAGGCTTGATAGCTGAGGTCAGGGACACCCTGTGATATCTGGAATTTTTATTCCACTAACTAGATTGTACCTCTGCTTTTGATGAATTCTAGATCTTCCAGATGTTGGTGGAAGGCCCAAGCAGCTTGAGCAAGTTTATAAACGCCCTCAATAAATAAAATACAGTGTATAAGAAAAATATGTGAAAAGGAGTATTTGCCTTGCCAACGAACTTAGGAGGAAAGGGTGAAAAGAAATTCTCTCACTCTCAAAGGTGTACCTCACCTAGTGAAAGTTCCAAAAATCAGGAAAGCAACAGTCATTAGGTGAGCAAAGTACTTGGTAGGGTCAGGGTATTAAATAACGAAGTCCTGAAAAGAGGAGAGCGTCCAGATGACTCCAAAAGCTTAGAAGCTCAGGGGTGTGGCATCCAGAGCATCATCAATGCTCTTCACACAGGGGCTTCCAAAATGTACCTGCCAGCGGGATAGCAGCTCCTGAGATGTGCCAGGGAAACCCAAGTGCTCCAAAAGTTGTGAATGTTGTTAAATCATTATTGGAGTCCATTTTGAGTGCTGAGTAGCATAGCCAGGAAATACAGATTACATGGAAATTTAAGGAAGCAAGTGTGTTACCCTTCAATTACGTAAAAGCTTTTCTAAGTTTATGAAATATGTAGAATACTCATACATTGTCAGACTCAATAAAAACGTTTTTGGAGCACTTGGTGTGTCTAAAAGGCACCACTGATGGGCTCACAAAGAGCAAAAAAGTCTGAGATGGGGTCTCTCATTCCTGGGATTTAAATTTAGTTGGGAAAGAAAAGGTATAAACACATAAAAATTTGAAGCAACAAAGAAGCTAAATAACATTATAATAGGACATGAACATCAGGTCTAACTTTAATATTCAATTACTGCAACCTTCCTGCTATGGTTGTATTTGTGCTGTCCTTTTTTATAAAAAAAAAAAGATTTTTTTCTCTTGATATTTAAAGTGCCTTGCAAGTTTTTTTGTGCGAATTACATATATTTTTGCAAATTATATTTTTAAT